AGATGGACTGAACATTTTGAAAGGGCATCAAAATCCAAGAATCAAAGAGAGGGCAAAATCGCGTCTAAGTTACCTGTATGAAGTAGTTATTTCTTGTTTCCATTCTGTTTTACACCTGAAAGCGTAAGTTGAGGGAACTTGTGAGTTGAATCTTCTGCTGCGGTATTCATATCCACAGGCGTACAAAAGAAGACAAGAGAGGTCTCCTGTCTTACCGGTAACCGACCAAAAGTAATTTCGTAAAAAGACCCTTCAGACGGCCCAGGAATGCGAAAAAACATCACACATGAGTCGATTAACGTTTCATTTAACTTCATTGGCATATTCAGACCGAGATGTACTTTAGATATTCAATTTTCAGAGCATTATTCATAACCTTCATAGATTCTCTTCGTTTCTGTAAACAATTAACCACGAACACATAGGGTGGTCTGCTTGTGGGCGTACGGGCACCATCGGGCTTAAGGGCGCGGTGACCTTCTTGCCGTGAAACTTATTAACCCACATGGGTTTTGTCTATATTTTGTTTGTACAGAGTTCAAAAGGCATTTATGATTGACAGTTGATCACGAGACTTAAAATATAATATCGCATGTGCTTTTATGATTGTGCTAGTTTTAAATACGAGTCATCGAATAAACAAGTTTCAATAATCGAATGGACTGCGAGAATGCTTAATCGATACTTCTTGGCCGAAAAAAATACGCAATGCCCGAATGCGGGAGTGTTGAAATCAGGATGCAAACGCATTCAAAATGTGTGAAAAACTAAAACGTTCACAAAGATAGTTATATTGAAAGCTTACATACTCAATGAACTCTATCAACAGTCTCAATCTAGTAAATCTAAAACTGATCAGTAACACAGACATGGGCCGTTTGGACAACCGTTACAGAAGCTATCCTGTATTCAAGACGAGCGTCTCGATGTACTCGAGACGTCCAAAGAACAGCACGAGGCATTGCCAGAAGTCCTTCGAGATAGTCTTGTTTTGGCCACAGCAGACTTGCAGCCTACACTGCAAGCCTTCCATGAGTTCAGAAGCAACGTAAATAAGATGGTAAGCAACATGGACGTACTGGAGAAACACCTCCAAAGAAAAATTCAAGAAAAAAATTAAAACACCCTATCGTTAAGACATTCCAAACGGCTCTTTTCAGGGCTTCCACAAAAACAAAACTCTTGGTCTTCGTTCGCTTTC